CTGTTTATTTTGGCATGTTTGTGTCTTAATTACAAAACTCAACCTAGAAATACTACTGTAATTCTAATCACTTGATTACAGCCAGGTACTTACAGAGGCAGCAGAGAACACAGGAGTCTGCCAGGAGGTTTTTCTGCCCCTGAGGAATTCACAGTCTTTCTCTCACTGGATGAATCTTTAGTATCTAGTAAGGGTCAACTTCTCTAACTGCCGATTTTCAGTAGAGTTGTAGGAAAGAAATTTACATCAAACTGTTCAGTAGATTCAAAATGAGAGAGGAGAATGTTCCCCTCCCAAGTGAAAGCCAATATACTCCTGTAGGAAAATGAACTAATAATCCCATAGTTTGTTTATGTATGGATGAACTCTGCTACCAGCAAAATGCTGGTAATAGAAAACATATTCAGTAAGAGAGAATATTTAAAAGAGGGCAAACCCAGGAGCTTTTTGCTCACTTATTCTCGTGATCTTTCTTACTCTGTCTTCATTAAGGGCAAGATTTTGTTCAATAGGCTATAGATGGTGGCAGTGAGTGATGAGCCCTGGCTCACGTCTTATCATATGTGCTCCCACTCTTCTTTTGAGCATTGGAAATGAGCATTTTACAACAATTCCTTAGTAATAGGTGACAGTCACCCCAAAGGAGAGGATTGTGTGTTTACATAGTTAACTTTAGTTGATGTCTTGGACAGCATTAAATGACAAATGATACTGGTTGGCTCTTTGTACCATCGGTAATCAAGTGCTAAGGGCATGTCTGACCCAAAGGAAGTGAAATCTCATGGTGAACATGAAAGTCTGAAAACTCAAACCTGATTTTCCCATAACTTAGTGTTTCCTGCTTCCCTCACTTCAAACTTGACAGCTGGATACAGCAAACTGCAGTTCAGACTTGAAGTGCATTTGTGCATGTGTGTTGTGGGGTACAGCTGTGCTGGTGCTGTGCTGGAACTGGGGCTGAGGCAGGTAATTAGTCAGAGCTGCTCACCCAGACACTGGATTCCCAGAGCTGAAGTGTGTTACAGATTGGAGGAACAGAAATCTGCAGGAAAATGTGTCAGCATTTTAATAACTCAAAGCCCAATCAGTAGAAGAATCTTGTATTTTAAAAACCTAAGCTTCCCATTACAAAATTACAAAAAATTACTGTTTTGAACTAGTGAAAAGGTCTCCTGCTTTAGAGAGATAAGATTCTCTTGGTTTCCAGAAGGGCATGACATTTTTCTAGTGTTTGATTATATTTGGTATATTAAATATGACCTCAGTGTTTAAGGTTGCTCAAGCTGTAAGAGTTCAGAAAGATTTTGGATGAGAATTTTTCAGTTTATTTTGCTAAGCCTCTGTAATAATTGTAAATAGTCATTCTTTTAAATAACAAATAGTAAGAGGTCAGATAATCCGTGTATGTATGACTCAGTATTTCATTACAAAGGAAAGTTCACAGCAGAAAAAATGTAGCTATGGTAAGAAAGTTCAGTATTTCACAGGGCTCATTGGTGTAGAAGCAAAAAAAAAAAGCTTAATGTGAAGAAAAATGTACAGAATTGTGAAACATGGTGGATAATTCAGAAGATAATGAGGTATAAGGAATACCAGTTTTCAGCTGTAGATGTTCACTGTTAGATGACAGACTTGCTTAAATACCAGGGAAGAGACAAGTGGAGTGACCTTAGCAGTGCTGTCGTTAATGGGGGATGGTTTTCTGTCAGTGTGTAATTTAAGATTGGCAAACTTATTTTTAAGTTTAAAAATCAAAGAAATGGGCTCAGTCATTTTTATGGTGATTCCTGAATATTCCAGGTACTAGACTGGGAATTTGGGAAAAGAGCTATGGATTTTCTGTTGCTACTAAGTTTTGTTAAATCTTATCACAGGTATCTCCAGTTATTTGCAGCTAATGTTTTGCAGTTTTCTTGCTTTTCTCAACATTTGATTTTTTAATTGTTGTTATTGTGTCAAATTCTCAAGTCCAGCGTCAGCAGAACAATGTTACCTTCTGTTTAAAAAGAAATAAATTAAAAATCCCTTAGTCTATACTTCCAGTTTAAGAGAGAACTTGGAAGCTGTAAGTCACATATATGAGGAGATAAATCTTTACAATTTCAGTCGCCATTTTTAGCAGCACTATTTTTCCTGTGGGTGGTGAGGTTTGATTCACGAGCTGTGAGTTAAACTGGCACTGCAGTTGTCTGGTGCCCTTAGGATGAGAGGGAAACTCTGTGTTCCTTTCTATTGTTAACACACAGGTAATTTGGAGCAGTAGATTCCAGATGTTGCACTTCCACAAAGCACCTTTTTTTTTTCCATGACATGCCTCATACTTTTTAATTGGCACTACATTAACTCATTTTCCCTGACTGTGCTAGCTGGAAGTTTAAGATGGTTTTCTGTACATGAGTGTTCTCATTTGTGCCATCAGTTTTGTGACTGCCAAAATTTCTGGTAAAATTCAACCTTTTCTGTTGTTTTATTTTGCAGAAAAGTACCCATTTTGGTGAGATATGAAAATTAGTCCACATGAACCTGTGCACAGGTTTCCCAACATTGTTTGTTCCAGTCAGATGCTGTTTGACAGGGAATGCCTCACACAATTTTTTTTCTTACCAGTAAAACACAATTCAGATCTCAGCTGAGGCATTAAAGACCTACTGATACTAGAAATAATTTATCATTCTTGTATCTTCCATCTTGTTAATCTCAATTCAGATTAAACTGTGCATGTAGCAGTTTAAATTATGGAGCATCGTTAGTGTTTCTTAGCAAATTCATGAGAAGAATGGCACTGATAGGCCTGTGGGACAAAAAAGTGTGGATGTGATTTGCCCTTTCATTTAACAAATTATTTTTGCAGGAATAGAACTGGTTAAAATTTTCCACTGAGAATTTTTTTCCATAAAATACTGTGGTTTTGTTTGATACGCAGGAAACTGCTATTACTGCTTAAAAGAAACCCCTAAAGCATAGGTTTGGCATAGAAACCTGTGCAATTTAAAGAGTCATTTTATTTCTATGGTATCAAAAATACAAATCAAAACAAGGTGAATGTTTTCAGTTAGATGCTTAAATTGTTGATTCACAATAAAAATTATGACTTAAATATCTCTGAAACATCTCACAGGAAAAACTAAAAACTTAAGAGTTCTTCATCTCTTGTGTATAAGAGAACCACATTGCTTTTCCAAACCCACTCTGCTGTTAGTTGGGTAAGACTGTCTTAAATCCATAGTGACAAGATTTGAGATGTATGTAATTTGAAGACATGAACTTCAGTGACATGATGTAATCTAAGATGGATTTTGCAGAAACCTATGCTGGGAATTTGGGTCTGTGTGCTGCAGGAGACCTGGGAAGCCTGGGGCATAGGCGAGAAAGCATCCTGTGCAGGAATGTGGTCCAGCTGTGTGTTACCTCTGTCCAGCTCTAAAGGCTTCAAAAGGCTTTTTTGTTTTATATTTTCATTTGCATAGAGTGGGGTTTGGTTCCCTCCCCCGAAGCTTAGCAGAGTCTGAAATAGACTATTTCACAAAGTTGTATTTTAAACCAGCGCTGTGCTAGTCCCTGGTGAGAGCAGAACAATATACACAGTACATGGTGTTGAGTGAGGCAGCTGCCTCCTACTCTGGCTGCTGGAGATGTGTCAGGATTAATCCAGTCTGTTCCCATTCAATTGCAGTGGTTCACAGCATATCCTACTGGACCAGGCCATAACTCCTACAACTATAGCTGACATTAACTGTTGTGCCTATAAAGCTTCCAGCTTTTCGCATTCAGTTGGCCTGTTTTGCCAGAGGAAAATGGCTTAGCTTTACATAGCAGTAGTTTTCCTGGGGGAAATGGGCTAGGGCAGAGAAAACTGTCCTGTACTTGTGCTGACATCTGCATCACAGTGGTGCAGAGGGACAGAGAAAAGTATTCAAAGTAATCTGTGGTCTGAAATATTCAGCAGATCAGCAGTTGTGCCTCAGTAAGGTTCTAAAGATGTAGTGAAGTGCACAGACCAGAAGAATCCATCTCACCCTGGTTTTACTGGAAAACTACAGAAGGGTTACCAAATGCTGTGCTGTGCAGGATGATGGATTCTGTGTGATTTAGGTCTCTGGTAGTACCATGCCCACAGTAAGATTTCCTTTGTCTTCTTTTGGTGTTTGCTTGAGGATTTACGTGTAGGTGAAGACATTACAGATGACTCATTTGTGGATTAGGAAGGGAAGAGGCTTGTCTTGCTTTTGTCACTTAAAGCTGCTATGGCAAATAAGTGTGGCAGGGTGCAGGAGCAGTGTCAGATCCACGGTGCATAGAGGATAAACACCAGCTTGCTTTCTCCTGGGCTGGTGTTAAATCCCTGATGAGAGGCTGCGGCTGAGCAGTGTTACGTTGTTGAGTTTAAGGTTGGAAGACTTGGTTGTCTGCTGATTACAAGCCCCTTCCAGCACCAGGTGGACTCTGCTCTCTGTACGTGGGACAGATGTTCCACTGAAATCTGTGACATTCAAACTCTATGTATGTTTTTAACTGAAAGTTTGGTTTGTCAACACTTCCATCAGTCTCTATTTCAGCCTGTTTCCAAGTGTGGTGTAGTCCGAGTCGCTAGCGTCAAATCCGTGACTGCTGACTTTCTGGTGGCAATGATCTTTGCACTGCCTTGTAATTTGGTCCTGCTTATGCAGGGGACTATTTTCCAGATCCTGAAAAGAAGAATCCTTTCTCTCCTTCCTTTAGACATGGGAATGTGATGCCTAGGGAGGTAGTAGAGTCACCATCTGTAGAGGTGTTTAAGGAGAGACTGGATGTGGCACTTAATGCCATGGTTGATGTGGTGGTGTTCGGTCGTAGGTTGGACGACCTCAGAGGTCTTTTGCAACCTTAATGATCCTGTAATTTTCTCTCACAGACAACTTCCCATGCAGTGAACTGACTGCAAGGAACAAGCAAACCTTTGGGCAGTTGTAAATCAGTTTCTCTATTCACACCCAGTTCTCCTTTCCCTTCCTTCCATACAGGTTGATAAAGTGTGTGGACAGCCCAGACAACACGAAGGGAACCTGTCAGCTGCCAATATAGTGCCAGTGAAGGAAGCCACTGAGACACAGACGTTCGTCATGGCCCATGCTAGCCTGAACAATAAAAGAAGGTAACCCTGAGCTACAGTTGCTTTGAAACAAATTCTCTGCCTCACAATTTGTGCTGTTGGTTCCTTGCACTGTGGTGTTTGAGCTCTGACACCTTGTCTGGGTGCTCTCCAGTCGTTCCCGTCACTGACAGACACGTGGCTCACTTTGTGGTATTACATTTCAGGTCTCTCCAAGAAAAGCTTTATACAGGCCAGACTTGATGTCATTATTAGCACCAAAGGTGTTCATTATCTCCAGAAGCTTTCAGTGTAAATGATGACAGCTTTTCCTCGACAAAGCTGAGTTTAATTACTTAAAATACAACTGCCCAGGCGTTTATAGACTTGAAGTGGGAAAGAGGAAGGGATGGAAAGATTCATTGCCCTGACGCCAAGTAAGTCCCTGATTTCACAGGGCTGAGGAGGAGTAATAAGATCACTGCAACCTCCTTGATTTGATACAAAAGAGAGAAGAGTGGAAGCATTTGTTTCGACTTGTTGTGTCCATCTTGGGTCCAGTTCTTCATCTCCATGACAGATGGAGACACCAGACAGCTGAATTACTGCCACTGGTCCAGGCAAGAGTATCCCTGCTCCCAGATCTCCTGTTTTTCTTTCACTTTCTCTCATGTAGACCCTGAATTGGTTTTCTGCAAATTTTAAGTGAGGAGGGAAGGATGTTTTTACAATTCCACTTGTGATACGTGAGTAGATACACAGCTAACTGGCCATAAAATCACAGTGACTTATTTCTGGCTGATGTAGTGTCCTCTGTAACAGCAGTATTCATCTGGAACAACTTCAGCCAAGTGAGTGGAATCATACTGGGCTTACACCTTTATCCAAGAACAGTATCTAATCTGCCCAGGGTGTCTGTCTGTATCTCTCTGTGTTGGATAAGTGGATGACAGACAGCAGTGTGAGAATGTCCGTAGCCTGGATTCTGGAGCTTGAGTTGTGAAGATGAGATTTTTATCCATTTCTGTTTTAATTCTCATCTTAGCCTGCATGAATGAAGCAAACACTGCTTTAAAAGATAAAAGTAACAACAGCAAGCTAAGTTTTGTGGGTGATGCTGATAATTTTATCCCTCTGTAATTGAAAACTGAAACATAACATTTTGTGCTAATGCTTGGAGCGAATCAATTTTTACCATGCAAATCAGAAAAAAAGAGCATTAAATAAATTACATTAATAAATCCAGCAGTAAAACTCCAAAGAACAGTTGTAGTACAATTAATGAAATATGCTTTTAAAAACCAGAGCCCTAGGCCATCTTCTCTGTAACTCATTGACTTTGCTAGGATTCATACACTAGCAACCAGCAATGCAGAATTACCAACCTATTAACAGGTGTCCTCTTAAATAGGTGCAGACTCCTTTAACAGACCCATTAAAGGTGTGTCTTTAATGGCATGACAGACATTCTTTCTCACCAGAGGATCTGCTCCCTCCCCTTGCCAACCATCTAGAATGATTTGGATCTTCTAAAACACAAGACGTGCAGATGGAAAAGAAAATAGACTAACGCACTGTAAATTAGACAGTTTGACAAAATTGGTCTGCAGATAAAATTATCCAAAAAAAAATCTAAACTAAGGCCATGCTTACATAATTAGCCTGAAGAGTCACTGAAATACAGTGTTGATAGGTATTGTGAAGAGCTTCTGCACTGCAAATGAATGATGGAACCATGCCATAAATAGTAAGAAGTGAAAAATGTGAAAATATTCTCCACAACTTCCTATAAAACACACATGGCCTGAAGCTTGTACTCTGCTTCTTGGAAACAATTGGGACACTGTAAATAGAGTGGAAGATGCTCTATTGGCTACATCACTGTGGTGTTCATTCTCTGTCATTTAATCACATATGATATCAATAAAAAGCAATTTAAGATAATAAAATTTTATAATACATGGGTGAAATCATTCCTGCAGTGGGTTGTGTAAAATGCACTCAGAGTGACAGATAACTGCCACAGGGGAACCAGATTATGAGGGTAATTACATGAATCTGTTTTGGTGCCTTTCCTTGTAGTGATTCTAAGAAATGAAGAGCAGTAATGTTAGCTCTCTGTCAGCTTGGGTGCAGGGTCATACAGGGAACTGGTCCTACTGAATCTCTCTGTGTAACAGACATCCCTCCAAGTGATCCTTAATTCAAGGGGAATATGGAATGCAACTCCAGCCTGTTAGAATAAGGAAAGACAAAGAGAAGCAATGAGCCAGCACTCTCCAAGTAAACAGAAAAGGTGTGTTTCATGCCCTTAATGAGCTGGAACATTCCCAAGCTCAAAGACATCTGTAGGAGAAGCCACAGTCATGTGGCCTCTCACCTCTTTTGTAGCATCTGCTCAGAGATGCCCTTAAAAACTCAGTGCCAAACAGCTTATACCTACAGATGGATGTTTGCTCCAAAGGTATTAATGTCTTTGCAGGCCAGTTACAAAATCAAGCTCCTTTTCCCAAG